GAGAACTATCTAAACCAAACGAGGAAACAGTTTCTGACAAATTCCTAAAATCCACAACAACAACAACAACGAAAGAACCAAAAAGGAAATACATTTCAAACCAGGAAATAAAGGCTTTCTCTATGTTTTGGACCTATTTGAGGTGCATTCCCTAAAACCAAAGCAAGTAAGAAAAAAGCTTATAGGGCATTTTTAAAAAAAGAAACTAAATAAAGCATTTTATACAGGTTAAAATGTACTTCGAATGAGTAAATCCAGCTTTTGGAAGAGTAAATGAAATGTGTGCTTTAAAAAATAGGTCTCTTAAAGATACTAGAATTTTTTTTCCTCTTGGATATGTGTGTCTAAAACTTCATCTAGATAGTGAACATGTCACTACTAACAAATTTACTACTTGTGGCCAGAAGAGAAATTCTGAGGACATAGGCTCAACTCTCTAGTTTCAGGAGCCCATCCTGGTGAACTACCTTTGGTCCACAGATGCCTGTTACATACTGGTCACTTTGAATCCCCAGAATTCAATTATTCTTGTCGTTTACAGAGAGTAACACTTTAAGAGATCAAAAATCACACACACACTCACTCAACATGTTCACCCAAAAGTACCAAATCAGGCCGGGCAGCTGCAGGGAGATCCGTCACAATCAGCTGTGCCTGGATTGCTCATTTTACTCTGGCAGCACTCAAGGTTAGAAAAATGAAATGGCAGCATGATTGGTCAGCAGCTTCTCTTCTTCTGGAATTTTTTCCATGTTTCTGACACAGACAGACAGACAAACACACAACGAACGAACATAAAGCTGCAATCACTCTTGCATTGATTTCAAATAGTAAACTAAGCCGTTTCCTCGGAGAAGCAGAGTCCACCCAGAAGACGGCAGCTAGAAGGTCCTCAGCCGGTGAACTTCCGCAGCTCTGCAGGGGCTGATGCAGGGGGACCCATCAGACACCAAAGGTGTTCTCCAGGAGATCTGCTTGAGGCAGCGGCTGGGAGCTCAGGCTATATTCATCTCCGAGTTGTTCTGGCTGGGTGGCAGGTGGGAATCCAGGCTCTCCTTGCGCCTCTCCAGGTCGTGGAAGTATGGGTGAGACAGGGCACCGTAGGCAGATATTCTTTTGGCTGGATTAAATGTCAAGCACTTCTGTGATAAAGAAAAAAAAAATCGATTAACATGAAACATGTCCCTTTAAAAAAATGTGCTCGGGTAGTTACATCTTCACTACCATGAATTATGTGCGTCTCTAATGAGAATGAGTATCTATTTCAAGGGGCACTAAGTAAATTGTAGACCAAGCATGTCAAACTCAAAGACTAACACGGGCCAAATAAACAAGGTTTAAGTTTATGTGGGCCGCAAAAAAACAAAAGCTTCAATTTTCATAGAAACGTAGGTAGGTTTATTTAGTGGAGAGAAATGGTGCGCCTGCACGTAAGGGAAATGAATGCAACATGATTATAGTAATCAGTCATTAGCGAATGTTGTATGTTATTAATAATTGAGTATAACATGATATTGTAAAAATTAAGTTATGAAATTTTTATTAAAACGTTCCTTACATGCCATTATATTGGCTGGGCCGCAAAAATATTCGTTGTGGGCTGTATGCGGCCTGTGGGCCGCCAGTTTGACATGCTTGCTGTAGACAGTTCTCATTTTATATATATCCTTAATGTATAAACTGCCCCTCAGAAAAAGGCAACACCTTTTGGGTTGCCTGTGGATTGTCACTACCCAGAATTTCTCTACAACCCACCCAGGTCCTTTAAAATATATTATTATTATTATTGTAGTAGGCATGTCATTTTCTTTAGGTAGTGATTTTTCTAACGCTAGCAAACTTTGTGCCATAGTTAGAGACTTCACCCTATCTCTGAAGTCTTTCTACAAGGTTTGTCAATGAGCAGAGAATGGAAAGGTGTTTTTCAAGTGTAAAGGATAATTACTGAACTGCTCTCCAAACCAAAACAGTTTCTGACAAATTCCTAAAATAAAATACAAAACAAAATAACAACAAAAAACAAACCAAATACATGTCAAGCCAGGAAATAAAGGCTTTCTCTATTAAGGAGGAGGCATGTCAGGCTAAAATCTAGATGCTAATTATCCTAATCTACTAGCCAGCCATGCACCCTGCCCCAGGGCTACACCAGCAGAGGGATGCCTTCCTTCTAATTCACATCAAAGTGCCATACGGGCTAGCAGCATCCCCAGAAGGAATCCGTTAGATTCAATTCAAGTCTCTAAACTCTATTCCAGGCTGTGAACTCAAAGTGCAGGTAGAAGGTGAAAGGAGGAAAAGGTGAACCGCGGAACAGTGATCTCCATCCCCAAACTGTTAATTCCTAATCAATTAGCCAGAAAAGTTCCCTAATCTCTGTCCATTTCCAATCCAACCCCAAGCAATCTTGTTCTTCAAGTCCACACTTTTCCTTCCGCCAACACCGCAGGAGTACCCAGCAGGTGGCAAGCACTGCCCTGGGAGTTCACAAGTCGCAGGGAAGCTATAACAGCTTTTCCATCTTTGTGAGGCAAGATGCTCTGCAGTGAGCTGGGTATCTGACATGTCTATGTATTTGAGTCTTCTATGTAATCTAAAGACTTAACGTTATTATGGCTATAAAGACCACTTCCGTTTAATCTGGGTTTGTGCTCTTCAGGAGCTCTGTTAAATGTGATTGACATAGGAAAACATGTACACATAGAAAATACTACATATAACTTCAGGCGGATTTTTGAGTCCCCAGAAATCTTGCTTATCCTGAGCTCCCTACCAGTCCATGGGTACTAGCCTCTTCACAGTGTCTTTTGAAAACCAAGAGCCAAAGGACAAGCAGAGGAAGGAGCTCGTTCATGGAACAGTTCTACTGTCTCTAATAGCAACAAGCATTTTGAGAAAAGCTTTACAAGGAAGGGACGAATTCCCAAAGGACAGGAGAGTTGGGGCAAAATTCTTGAGACAGTTCTCTCTTTCCAGAGTCTAAGAAGAAGAACGTTAGGTAGTGGCATTAGAAAAAGAAGCAGCCAGTTTAATCCCCAGAACATAGAAAAGAAGAAATAAAAAATTGTGGAGCCCAGCCGGTGTGGCTCAGTGGTTGAGCATCGATCTATGAGTCAAGAGGTCACAGTGCGAGTCTCGGTCAGGGCACATGCCCGGGTTGTGGGCTCGATCTCCAGTGTGGGTTGTGCAGGAGGCAGCCAATCAGTGATGTTTCTATCTCTCCCCCCACTTCTCCCTTCCTCTCTGAAATCAATAAAAATATATTTAAAAAAAAGTTGTGGGAATGTGTTCAAGATATAGAGACGTCCCTAGAGGCTTCTCTGGGAGGAAGCCCTGTTCCCACAGTTATACTGATGGCTTAGAGCTGGAAAGAGGGGAGAGAGGAGGAGAATTCCTTAGTCTCATGTGGGGGTGTGTGAGAATCTCAAGTCTTAATACATTATGTCCTATAGAAATAGTGTTGGGAAAGATGGCTAAGATCTATTATTGTTCTACCCCAAATGGCACAACTGGCTGGCTTGAGTATTAAAAAAAATCTCATCTCATAATATTGTTTCTGCAAGAACATTTAATTTACTTCCTCAAAACACCGACTTATAAAATGAGAGTTTGAAATTACAACTTACTTAAGAGGATCTGCACTTTTCCAGCATATATTCCCTTTCTTCCCTTCCCTCCCTCCACGGTGAGAGCATTCTTTCCTCTCCCAAGGTTGGCCTTGGCCATGGACCTTGCTCTGGCCAGTGGGATGAGGACAGAAAGAGCAGGGAGGCTTTCCGAGCCTAGGCCTTCAGGGCCTTCTCATGCTTCTGCTTGCCCTTTTGGGAGCATCCGCCTTCTCCCAGGAGAAAAACATGCTCCAAGGAGCTGAAGCCTCTCTGACCTGGGCCCCAGAATAAGGCGCATGGAAAGGCCTGTACTTGACCTGGAGACAGGAGGAGAGCTGCCTTTGTCAATCTGCAAGGAGGAAATGCTCACTGTTATACGCTTTTTTTGTTTTGTTATTTGTTATGCAGCAAAAGCAGACTAAATACAATGACAAAAAAAAAAGTGCCTCAGGCTCTGAAAACAGTTAGATAGCAGGAACTTTAACTTTTTTTTTCCCAGCAAAAGCATCATATTTGGAATAAGTATTTAAACTCGAAAAGATGTGTCGATTTCAGTTGTTAAAAATAATTTCCCCCTGCATTGTCTTATATACAGGGGTGGGCAAAAGTAGGTCTACAGTTGCTCATATGGAAAAGACATGCAGGTTATGATGACAACAGCTTTACTAACTCAAAAGAATGTCACTCACAACTCAAACGTGTTTTCGCTCACCTAGTATGTATATAAGAGCATTTATAAATGTTGTTGTATACATGTCCATACATATATGACTGAGGCATGATATAAAGTCAACCTTTTTTTTCCAGATAAAAATGAAGAATAATTTAACATGCTAAACTTCTAAATGTTAACCGTTTCTTAAATAACACAAACTTTCTAACACAGTCTTCACTTTTCCTTAGTAAATGATTTCCAATAGAGGCAACAGGTGTTGTGGGGGCATGGCTGCTTATCTTGCACCAAGTGGTCCATCTTTTGCTTTCTAGGATAGAACTAGTCCTGAGTCCCCCCCAGCAGCTTCAGCCAGTTCTGAGCTGTGTGGTTTCGGGCTGTCCTTTCCCTGAACACCTGTGGATATTATGCTTTCTGCCTACGTTTCCCCTAGTCCTGATGTCACTGGTTCCTCTTCTTATTCCTCAACTTGCTTCTTCCTTCTCTCTTTGGTACGTGTCTTTGTTCATTTTTCTTCTTCGTCTCCTGCTACTTTCCCAGTCTAGCACTAGTGTGTTGTCTGACTTTGAAAGCCACCACTGCTAGGGGGGCACCCTAAATGAGCAGGTGACACTGTCTGTCATTCAAAGTTCCTGCTG